AAATTAGTATGAGTTAGTTGTTAGTAACTGAAATTTTCAGGATGGTGAACATTCCACCCCTCAAATGAGATGCGCGACTATTAAATTATAAATTGGTGGAGTTCACAGTAATGACAGAACTCGAAACCTGACCTTCACCTTGGTGAACCATTTGGCTTTTGACCCGGTTCGCACACATAATACTCCCTTTCATATAAAATTTGGGACCGGGGGTGCATTATAATATTAATCAAAGCTCCTTTGATTGTAGCGACGTGCCCATGTGACTGAAATTCTCTTGAAGTTCACAAGCGGATGCACCCTCAATCTCCTTGAAATTCTCTCTGAAAATGTTAGTTAAATAAGTTTATTGCCCTAAATGGTATATATAGGATTTCACATAAATTTAAATTAAATGGTTTGAAAATTATAGTGTATTTTATCTATATATTATTCTATTATTATTTTAAAAAATAAATTTATTGATCAAATATATAAATTACCTTTTAATATTTTCAAGTTAGAAACACTAAGTAATAAAAAATGTTGATTTGGTTTAAGAAAAAAGCAATAAGCAAAGTTACATAAGTTTATTGGCTATAAGTAATAAATTGGACTAAATTTGGGTTTTAGTGAGATTTGAACTCAAAACTTAAAGGTATTAAAATCTTTATCTTAACCACTAAATCTTAGTTTAATTGACTATTTCTTTTCGTAAAAGTTTTCCTTCTCTTATTTGAGAAAACTAAAAAGTATTTTTGATATTTACTTTTGCTAAATACTATGAAAAATAAAGATGGCCGTTTTGGTTTAAGAAAAATTTGTGAGAAGATCCTACCTAGAAAAGTTTGTAAGGGCATTTGGTTAGGGCCATTTTCCTGGAAAATGGCTTCCAATATTTGGCTATTCTAAACTTCTTGAGAAATGACCTCAAACCCGGAAGGGAAGCCATTCCAAAGCTTTAACTTCTGAAGATTGCCTTCCGCATCTTTGCGGGGAGAATGCAAACTTACTAAACCAAACTTAATTGAACATAAGTAAAATTTCAAGTTTCCCAAAAGTTATACCAAAAATAGGTGAAATTTTAATTTTTTAAAATTTGAAATTTTGTTAAAGTTTAAACTCTCTTTTTTTTTTTCAACTTTTAAAATGACGAATAACTAAGTTTTCAAAAAGTTAGTGATATTAATTAAGTAATATTACTAATATATACTCGAAAAGCTTCTAATATAACTACATTTTATTGGTTATGAGTACTTTTGACCTATTATCTACATTGTAGTGAAGAATTTTACATAATGTAGAGCTATTTCATATTTTTTATTTAGCTTGCAAGCTAATAAATAATTCCTTAAGAAAGTCATTGTGCTACCAAGCACTAAAAATTAATGATAAAAGTAATAAGAATAGTAATAATATTAACTTTTAGAATGATGTATAAGTTTTCCAAAAGTTAGTGATATTAAATAAGTAATATTACTTATATATACATGAAAAATTTCTAATATATCTGTTTTGTTTTATTAGTTGAGTACTTTTGACCTAACATCTGCATTATTGTGAAGAAGTTTTCATGATGTAGAGCTATTTCATATAGTTTATTTAGCTTGCAAGCTAATAAATAGTTTCTTAAGAAAGTCATCCTGCTACCGAGCACTACTACTACTACTACTACTAATAATAATAATAATAATAATAATAATAAATCGAATTTTAAGTCAATTTTATAACTAATTCAGTAATAATATCTTTTTATTAAAAATAAAATATTTTAAATTTAATTTACATAATACATGAATCAAATTGAGTT